AAAATATCTAAAGGAATCAATTAATCTTGAATCAAAATCTAATGGTTTTTGATCGAATATGGGATGTTGTGTCAAATTTACATTAACATGCCATCCACACAATGGATCATTGTTGATTAACTTGTTGGCAAATAATGCAAGAATGATATCCCCCACGTTTTTTTCGGAATTTAAAGGTGCTATAAGACATGTAATATACTCTCCAACATCTAATTTTCCATGGTCTACCGCAAGTAATTTTCCTGCACAAACTGTATAATACTTATATTCTGCAGGTGTAATTATTAGTGGAAAAAATAATGAAGATTTTGAAGCAAATACTCTAGTTGACTGCTTGTGAAATATTGGTGAAAGCGCAACTGAAGTTTCTGGACTTCCGTTAACTGTATAAAATCTTACCTCTTTTGTATCCTCAAAATTACTACTAGATGATGCTGGATTAGAAGTTGAATTAGACAATGTTGAGTTAAATGATGTGTCAAATGATGATGTGTCAAATGATGATGTGTCAGATGATGATGTGTCAGATGATGATGTGTCAGGTGATGGGTTAGATACCATAGAGTTGTCAACAGTCCAGATGTAATTTTTTACGTTACTATATTTATGTGCCAAAAAGACAGCATCTGGTAGCGTTGGAACATTTCTGATAGTTGAATGTGTCCATAAAAGTTTACAAGGTTTTGCAAATTCAATATAACAAGATTCAAACTCTGCATCAGAGCTAAACTGCTCATTATCGGGATGTGATATTTTTTGCACTATTCCAATATCTTTTTCAAATGTTTCTATAATTTTTGATTTTGGAGGAAGAATTCTAGCCAAAAATTCAATTGTATGACCTCGATTAAAATTCTCTGGGCAATTTTTAAATGTGTGACTGTCAATGTTTGGTACAACTCGCAACATATTATGATGAAAAACAGTTACCAGTAAAATGTTGATTAATAGAATATTAGGTTCTCTTTTCAATTTGACTTGGTTTGATGTTATTTCATATTCATAATCAAACACATTCATCCAAGGATTTGTTTTTTTTTGTATAATTCTAGGTGTTTCACAAATCCGACTATTGGAGTTTGAATGATTGTTATGCAAATTGAGTTCTGGCAATTCTGAACTTGATTTTTTTTTTTTTAGACTTGAAATTTCTTCAGATGCTGCTGCCATATCAAGAAATAGAATTGCTTGTTTGATATCTCTTGAATATGTAGTTTCTTGACTTGTTCCTGATTTCTCCTCTTCATCTTCAAGGTCATTGCCATTGCTTGCATGTATATTGTCAATTAAATTAGGATTAAATATATGATTTCTATGCGTTTTGTCTCTCTCTTCTTTTGTAGCAGGCGAACATAAGCCTTGATGAGATAAAGATTCTCGAAGAGTGATGACAAGATCTTGTATTTCTCGTATCCAATAAAGGCTAATGGATTGTTGTTGACACCATGTTAGTTCCTTGCTTTGATCAAAATCATCATCATTTTGTGTAGTTTCTTCCCATAACAGATATCCACGTAATTGTGCTATTAAATCAGATCCACCATGTAATGGTTGACAGTCAGGTAAATCCAAGTGAAATCTTTTTAATGCTGCACTTGTAGCTATTTCTTGATTTGGAGATTCAACAATGACTCCTTTGTTTTGCAATATTGCTATAATGAAATGATAATTTTGAATAAGTTTAATTTATATTATAAAGCGTATATATATTATTAATATATAACTGATAATTGATGATTTACCAGCAATAATCATACAATCATATAAAGCACCAAAGATTGCACCATAAATTACTAATAGACCAGAATGAATATCCATAGGAACTTGTGCCAAAATTGTACCAAGACGAGTGACCTCATATTCATATGTAACAAGACTACCTTGAACCCAATCATCAGATTCTTTAATATTTTCTTTTGATTTAGTAACAGCACCAGTTGTTTCCAAATCTTCTAATGCATATTCAACAGCTGTATCATCTGGAGGATCAATGCAATGAGATAATAATTCACGAGGATCACCGAGGTTCCCATATATGCACCGTAAAAGTAAAGAATTAAGTGGTGTTCTATGAATCTCGGGTGTTCTTTCATCAGAAAGATTTTTAAAGAAATTTTTAGGTACAAATCGATAAATCTAATTTGAAAATAAAATTGATATTATAAAATACCAAGGTAAAAAAAATTCAATACAATTTCTTATTTATATATATATATATATATACATTACCACACCAGGACCAACTCTTCCAGCTCTTCCTCTTCTTTGCTCGGCGCAATCTTTACTTATCCATTGTTCATTTAAACTGTAACATCTAGTTTCTTTATCATAAAGTAAATCTTTACGCAAACAAGAATCAAATATTATGGAGACATCGGGAACAGTAATAGAGCTCTCGGCAATATTTGTTGCCAATATTATCTAAATTATTAAATCATTAAATATCAAATTGTTAAATAAATAAATAGTAAGGAAATAAAATTTATTAAATGGCATAAGAAAATGAGATCAGAAAATCATTGAAAAAAATTTTAGTACATTACTTTTCTATGACATGGTCTTGGTCTCTGCATAATTAAACATTGTTCATCAATAGTAACAGTTGAGTGTAGTTTAATCAATGAGATTGCAGGAGTAGGCTTTCCATCAGTATAAGGAAACTCGGACCTAAATTTTATAAAATGTGTCTATACAATGTAAAAAGTGGATGAACCTAAAAGTATGCTAATATATATATTTTTATTTTACCTATAATTTTCATCAAGGTACATCAATTGATCTTCCTTTACCAAAAAAAAATTTATTTGAATATAATTGATTTATATTATTATAAACACATTATAAACAAATAATAAAACTTACTACTTCAGCAATTATAGCAATACCAGGGAAAAAAACCAAAAAGGCCTTATCAGAAGGAGTTTGTATATGACATCGAAATATCCAATTGATAAAAAGATCACGACGTTCTTGCATCATAGAAGGTTTTTTTGGGTTATTCATTATTACATCTCTATTCGAAAAAGAAATATCTAATGCTTGACACACATCCTCTAGATAAAACACATCAACAGGAAAAGCTTTTTTAGGAATATCTATCCATGGTATTTTATTGAAAAAACCATCCTTTTCAGCTTCAAATTCATGAAAATAATTGGCAAATTTTTTAACATTCATTGTAGCCTAGAATATAAGAATCGGAATAAATAACTTATAAAAAATAAAAATTATTTTTATATGTATATATTGTTGAAAAAAATAAACTTACCGACATTATTATTAATTTCAAAGCAGGGTTTTTTCTTAATATAACACATAGATGAGACATCATCACATCATCGTCTATATTACGTTCATGAATCTGGTAAAAAAAAAAAAAGTTTTAATTATTGATTTGCACTTTACTGGATGAACATTAAAATTTTATTCTTATAAACTTACCTCATCCATAATGACATGAGTAAATGAGGCCAAATATCTGTCTGTCTTTAACATTTCCAATAAAATCATTGTAGTAACATAACGTAATCTTGTTATAGCCGAATAACCACATTTACCATTAACGTGATATCCCACTTGACCATGAAGTTTAGTATTTCTTTCTAATGCAACATGGTGTGCTAAAGAAATTGCACCAATATGATGCTAATATTAAATTGTATGAGGGTCAGGAGAAATTAAACTGATAAAAAAAATTTTTAAAATGAAAAATTTGTATGCAAAGTTACCGGTTGCGTGCAAATTATGTTAACAGGGGCACCTCTTTGTAAACAATCATCTAATATATATTGTGGCACTTGAGTAGACTAATTATTATTATTAAATATTATAGTTATTATTTCATTTTCATAAATAGATGTTTTAGTGATTTAAAGTATATATAATTAATGAATTACCTTTCCGCAACCAGTACTACCACTTAAAACAATTACTCTGTTGTCACGAATGATTTTGATAATATCTTCCTTACGGGTTTCAATTGGAAGTCGTGATCGTTTTGATTTAGGTATCCAAGCGGATCCATCATTAACATTTGATATAGGTGGCGCAAATAATTTTGTTGATTGTTTGAACTTTGAAGTTTTTAATATGTGAATAGCAGATTCTTTATTTGATCCAAGTGGTAATGTATATATATATATATATAAATAAGAAATTGTATTGAATTTTTTTTACCTTGGTATTTTATAATATCAATTTTATTT